CTCTGATTGCCTACATCCCTGAGAGCTATAGACCACTAGTATGTAGCACAGGAGTCCCCCTTTGCCACAGGAGGATCCTCTGCATTGAGTTCATGACCAACTTTGAAGAAGCAACAACAGCTTTTGGGCTAGGACGTATTAGTAGCGCAGTGCAAAGCAACCATGTCCCACCTAGGGATACCGAGTCCAAAGCTGCAAAAGCCCAGCACTTACAGTTTGAAAGGGCAGAGAAAGGAGTAACATACATTTGTATTGTTTTATAAAATAGGAAGTATATCCTGAATACTTCATCCTGAATCGCTGGTAGACAATGCTTGGCTCTGCCCATCCACTTCACAGTCCCTGACAAATTGTTATGAGAAAGCTCTAAGGCTCCAGAGCACATTGGCCACAGAAACCACATTAGCACTTTTCTAGAGAGAACAGCCTTACAACAAGATTCTGGGGAAAAGCATCAAAGCAGGTATCCTGGACAACATATTCAGGGTCTTAGTTACTTTGGGCAGTTCCATAAGTAAGCACTAATCTGTGCATCAGAGGATGTTTGTACCTAATTTTCCAGCAGCTAGTGTCAAAAATACATTCGGTATGCAGTTACTAGTGCCACCAAAATGCTACTTTTCCTGAAAAAATAACCCAGATCACAACAAAATTTTTAAGAACATAAGTAATACCATCGCAAAATCTTAAACATCATTGAGAGAAAAAAGTTAAAATACCACTTCTTCTCATAATAATTCTGAGTATAACCCCTTATATTTATTTGCAACAAAACTAATTTAAAAGCACTATTCTCTGTTTAAAAGTATCTGGCATAAACCCTTCACCACACCCTGTAGGTTGGTTCACATTACTTACATCTCATAGATGAAGTTTTTGCCCATGAAGCCAAAGGACCGATAATGTTGGTATGAACTAGTTATTACATAAGCTTGTATTTGCCAGGGATCCTTAATATTTAAGAACATCCCACGTTTTCATTTGGTATTCCTTGTCTAGCAACCACAAAAATACTGTCAAACTGGGCTCACAGTAATATGATAAAAAGGATCAAGATGGAACCATTAAATGCACTTCCTGGCATCCCAACTCTGTGCCCGGAATACTGAAATAAAGGTTGAGCTCATTAGCCCACAGGAAACATGCTTTGTTTTAAAAAAATATACTTGCTGTGGGATTCATTATCCTAGTCTCTACTTCCTGGTCTTACATCCTCTGGCATGGAACCTGCTGTAGTGTGTGCCATCTCTAGTCTCTCTCATCAACGGGAAAATTCATTTGAGACAAAATGCAGTATTTGTTCTGAATCCTGCTCCCCTCTCCCCCAAGCTCCCCCCATATTCTAGAAGAGGAGTAGGAAATTTCTTCCAGCTACAGGCCAGAAAGACCCAGGTTGGAGGTGGGCAGGCAGGTGCCAGGACTCTGCTGCTGCTTGTCTCTCTGGTTGCACAGGGAAAGTACCTGCAGCTGGCACTTCTTTTCATAGCAGCATGTGGAGAGCACCTGCAGAAGGTGCCCCTGCCAAATGCTGCCAAAGCCTCACATCTGCAGGACAGATCTGTAGCTCATGGTCCATACTGCCAACTCCTGTCCTGTAAGCTTATGTACCTAAAATGTAATCCTGGATTAATGAAATAAGTGGCAAAACTCCTTCTGACTTCACCATGGCAAAGGTATCACTTTTCATATGTCTGTTTTAATCAAATGCTTTTCAATGACATGGGAATTTGCTGTATTAGAAGTGTGCATGTCTGGAATCACCAGTGAGATTTCAAATGCAGTATGGATTAGTTTTATATGCTTCTACATTGTTCAGCTTTCTACTTACATGATGGTTTCAGTGCTTGTATAACTGGCATAATAGATTCTACATCCTAAAAAAAAACTCTCTCAAAACAAACCCCTTGGTTTTCTTTACAACATTTCTGTTCACATTCCTCAGGGAAAGTTTAATATTTCCCTAATAATATGCCATTGTCTTAAAAAAATAGAGTTCCTTGAAAATTGCAAATGGCTGGATACACTCCAAGTGGCAGAGCACAAAGATACTGAAACTAATTGCACAGAAATTGATGTTTTAAAAATGTAATGGGAACTTAGCTTGTTGCAACCCTCTGGTGGTCAAAATTGTGAAGCTATCAAGTACCACAGGTCTTACTGTATATTATGAGAATGGGAAGTTTTCCCTTCCCTTTAACTTCACTTTTGATTAGGCAGTAGTGTTTGACTGACATACAGTGTATCAGTCCATTAGTGCTCAACCTCTGGCCTGTGGGTCAGATCCAATCTGTGGAGCCATGTCATCTGGCCTGCAGGGCTCCTCACAGGCTTGGAAATATGGCAGCTGGGAGCAGTAGCACTTAATGCTGCCACTCCTCCACCATCCAATTTCCAAGCCCCATAAGCCAGACAACATAACTTCACACACTGGATTCAGTCTGTACCTCAGGCAATGGGCCTGATTTGGTGTGTGCAGGGCTGAGGCATCAGGCCTGATTCAGTATGCCCAGGGCAGGGTGGTAAGCCTGATCTGGCACATGCAGGGCCAAAGCTGGTGCAGGGCCAGGGCAGCAGGCCCAATCTGGAATGTGGGACCGGGGCCACACGTAGCACCCATCAGATGACTCCATGCTGGATCAGGCCCACAGACAGATCCCATGCATCATATCTGTCCTGTGGAGTGACCCCACACCACACATCTGGCCTGCAGCTCAGAAAGGTTGGGCACTAATGCATTAGTGCAAAAAGGCCCCATAGGATTAGGTCCCCATTGTGGTAGGCACTGTCCAAATCTGAGAGAGAGTTCCTGCTCTGAACAAAGATATTTTACAGTATTTTCCATTGAAAAATGAAGTTTATAAAGCAGCATCTTAACAGTAATGCTTTATTGTGAATGCGGGGAGACTAAAGGATATGATAAACCTTAATTTTAGCAAGGCTTTTGATACAGTCTCCCACAAGATTCTTGCAGGCAAGCTAAGGAAGTATGGGCTGAATGAATGGACTGTAGGGTGGATAGAAAATTGCCTGGAGCATCAGGCTCAGAGGGTAGTAATCAATGGCTCAATGTCTAGTTGGCAGCTAGTATCAAGTGGTATCAAGTGGAGTGCCCTAGGTGTTGGGGCTGGTTTTGTTCAATATCTTTATCAACAACCTAGAAGATGGCATAGAGGGCACCCTCTGTATGTTTGCAGATGACAGCAAGCTGGGGAGCGTAGTAGATATGCTGGAGGATACGGGTAGAATTCAGAGAGACCTAGACAAATTGGAGGATTGGGCCAAAAGAAATCTCATGAGGTTTAACAAGGACAAGTGCAAAGTCCTGCACTTAGGATGGAACAAGTCCATGTACCAATACAGGCTGGAGGCTGTCTGACTGGGCAGCAGCTCTGCAGAAAAGGAGGTGACAATGGACAATAAGCTGAATATGAGCCAACAGTGTGCCCTTGTTGCAAAGAAGGCTAATGGCATGCTGGGCTGCATTCATTGGAGTGTTGCCAACAGATCAAGGGAAGTGATTCCTTCCCTCTGCTTGGCACTGGTGAGGCCTCATCGGGAGTACTGTGTCCAGTTTTGGGCCTCCCACTACAGAAAGGATGCTGACAAATTGGAGAGTCCAGTGGAGGGCAATGAAAATGGTAAGAGGTCTGGGGCACATGACTTATGAGGAGAAGCTGAGGGAACTGGGTTTATTTTTTCTAGAGAAGAGAAGACAGGTGAGATTTAATAGCAACCTTCAACTACCTGAAGGGTGGTTCCAAAGAGGATGGCTCTAGACTATTCTCAGACTTGACAGATGACAGGCCAAGGAGCAATGGTCTCAAGTTGCAGCAAGGGCAGTTTACGTTAGATACTAGGAAGAATTTTCTCACTAGGAGGGTAGTAAAATACTAGAACAGGTTACCCAGAGAGGTTGTGGACTCTCCATCCTTGGGTGTGTTTAAGACCTGGCTAGACAAAGCCTTAGCAGATATCCACAACATCCTAGTTGTGGACGGTTCTGCTTTGAGCAGGGGGTTGGACTAAATGACCTCCTGAAGTCCTTTCCAACCCCAATTTTCTATGATTTAACTTAATGCACCACAGGCAATTATTTTTGTGGTATTTTACTTAATACTCCCTTTTGAGGACAACAGTGCTTTCAAAGGAGAAAAAAACCAATGCTACTGAAAGTTTATGGCTGCCTGGATGAAAGCAATAATCACATGCAGTCAGGAAATTCATCACATCTCCATTTAACACACAAGAGGTTGATATAACTGACTCTGGGGCACTGAGAAAACTGTAGTGCAGAAGGATATACAGCAAAATTAATACTAGAACTTCTCATGCTGCAGAGATATAAGAACCGTGTACAAGAACTACATCATAATTAATTTTTAAACTATTTTCTTTTTCCAGTTACCTTCTACCTGAGGGAGTCTGCTTCCAGCATGTATAAAAGTGTGTATGGTTTCCATACTTGAGTCACAAGCATTTGGTACATGGCAGTGTAAGCTTTAGATAGTAGTTTAAATATTGCAGAAGACTGCAGACGGTCTTTTGTGCACAAGGAAATTGCCTATCAATGAGGCAGTGGTTCATACATGCATTCATGTAGGATAGAAAGCACGATGGCCAAGGGAATGTTTCTTTCCAAGTTATAAAAAAATGATAAACAACCTCCAGCAGAAGCTCCTGGCTAGAGCACACAGGAAAAGGTACTTGACATTTGAATTTTAACAGCAGGTCAGAAAGTAGAAAGCTCAGAAATGCAGACCATATGCTTCTTTATTCTAAGCAACAGCTTTTAATGCTAGAGATCCTAAACATTTATTTAATATTTACTGCTAAGAAATACTTAGGATGCATATAAGCTTAGGAAGACAAGGCCCCATCTACATGACTAGAGATTTGCTAGGCAAGTTCCCTTTCTGCATGGAGCTAACTGTATCATACATGGTTTGCTAACTGCCCATATGGAAGAATGATACATTGCCTGTAGGAACATAAATGGGGAAACAAGACAATAACCTATTTTAAAAAACTTTATTTTTCACAATACATTTTTCACAATACATTTCATGCAGATCATATTTACAATTCTCTTTAAGGCAAACAAAAATTGGGTTCTTATTCCTGAGTTTCTTAGCACCATTAGAAGTAGCAAATAAACACCTAGGAAATTTTGTCTCCCCTTATAAACCAGCAGTTTTCTCCCACGAAATGTATCTTTCCTCCACATCTGCATTTCTTTCAATAAGCTCTCTGTATGGCAATCCTTTCTGCTGCCCTCACACAGTTCTCAATTTTTAATCTTTCTGGGGAAATACCATTTGAAAAGTTAGCTCCCTCTTATTTTAGTAGTTCATCTTTCCCTCCAAATGTATGAAGCCATAATATTTGGAGGGCTAAAAATCCATTTTCCAGTCACTGCAGGATAGGGAATGAGTCCATAACTAATGAGTATTAGAGCCAATAAAAAACTGTCAAATTTCAAATTTTAATTAAGTGAAATAGGATAAAAAAATCCAGACTACATTTTCAAGTGGTCATCCCTAGTTTAATCCATTACGCTGCTATTTGGACTTTTCTAATTTTAAAAGTTTTGATGAAATTTTAGAAATATCTTAAAAATGCAATAAAACAAATTTGAACAAAATTGCCTCTTCCTCACTGCCTCTTTTCTCCACCCCAAGATGTTTCTTTAAAGTCTTGTCAAATGCATCACAAATATTTCTCAAAGGAGCTGATATTTAGAGATGTTGATATTATACAACTATGACAACCCTCATCAAAAGTTGATTAAGCTTTCCCATTTAAAATACTTATTAAGTGAAAAGTAAGTGAACTGAGCTATCTCTTGGTCCTTTTTCAATTACTCTCTACAAGGATGAGATGTGTCCCTTCACAGATACTTCACTTAGCACTGATGCAAAACAGCAAATTGCCATAGCCAAATATTCTGTTTGTTAAAAGATGAGCTAAAAGGAGGAGAAAAACCCACAATAAAAAAACCCACAGAGGTTCATCAATTTCAATTCCCCACATCTGGGAAACTATTAGAAACTTAGCAGTAATGAAAAGACAAGAAATGAACCCAACTGCTAAAGGGGACTAACAAAATTTCTGACCAGTTATTCATAAGGAAGCTATACCCTGGTGGTACTGTACCTCTGTCATGGATTTTTCACAAGAGAATGAGATGACTTCATACAAAAAATCATTACCATATACCTAACAGGGTCGATATAAAATGGGAACAAAACAGCTTACTGCAAGGCACCAGAATGATTGTACTGTGTCATTTTTATTCTCATCTCTTTCTTCCTAATGTGAAGCATGAAGTTCTATTTTTAACATCAGCATACCTGTACCCCCAGCACACTGTACATGGGTATAACTGCATTAACAACCTGTGAGTCACAGGGCTTACAAAAGTTATAAATCCTCAGTTTTTCCCTTGGAAAAAAAACCTAGGCCACCTATTCTACTATACAGAGACAGGTTGCTATTCACTAGAGGAAGACCATACGATACTGTTTAAAACTGACTTATCTGGTCCCTGTAAAACAGCAACACTGTTCAGAAGACGCTATCTAGTTGGGGGTGTCCTATCCCACTACATGAGTTATTTCCACTACTCTGAAGAGTAGCAGGTTTTGCCTGTCTGAAGTCTATGGATCCTGGGGGACTCTACTGAAAATCAGGACCAACTATACAGGGACTCTACTGGATCTGTTGGTGCTAAGATGTCCCTGACTACATGTCTCTTGCTTTCAGGATTGCTCAGCCTCCCCTTCATTTGTTTAGGAAAAGAGAAGCACTTGTCCATTTATGTTCCAGCTATAGTGCACAATATTGCAATGCACAGAGATACCTAAGACAATTCTGAAAAAGTTTGCTTGGCAGCATAGGCAGTTTAGCCACAGTAGTGAGGTGCTCCGCAGACCTGCTTCTCATCAAGGTGACTTAGCCCAGGCAGAGTTACAGTACCCAAGCAAAGTCATGTAAGTATCTCTATATGACCCTGTACATGGCACGTGAAGACAGGTCTTTAGTCTCAGCTTGTTCAAGGTAAACAGTATTCTTAACTACGATGCTTTGTAAACTCAACTTTCAAAACCAAATGTGAAAGTACTTCATGAATTATGAGAAACATTTAAATAGAAGTAAGTTCCCAGATAGTTTTGAATGCTACTCCTAAAGGCACAAGGTTCCTAGACACAGTAAAAGACACCAATGTTCTTTACAATACAGAAAAAACAGATTACATCCAGTTTATTTATAAAAGGTTTATACAACTGAGTTATCACAAACATTTACAACCTTCCTGCTGCTTTCGAATTTTGAAGAGGTCGACACACACATTTACACAGCTGTTTCCTTTGATTCTGATAGCTGAGGTGGCTTGAAATTTAGTATCTCTCTATATGTAATTCCTGAAAAACAGTATTAAAAGACAGAATTGCTAGGATGTCCCTAGAATGGGCTGCACAGATGCTTATGTGGGACAAACCCCCAAATGGCTGGAAGTATGTCCATATGAGGATGACAGACCTCCTCAGACAGGAAGGAAAGCAGAAGTTCAAAACTATGTAAATGCTAATAATGTTCCAGGTCGATGTTACAGAACAGTAGCATTATTTTTAGGAAGACCTGCTGTACAGAGTGAAACTGAATATCAGGTTGTTTTTTAGGACCCTAGGTATGGGTACCTTACCTCTGGCAACTAATTAATTAAACTGGAGAACCAAAATTTAGACTCTAATCTCAGTTGAAAGTGCTGTCTCGTACTGACAGGCAATGTGACCATCTTAGGGCTGTGGTCGGTTGTTGGTCTTAAAGAGTAAGGTCCTAGGAGGACAGGCCATGGAAAGGTAAGGTGCAGAGAGTTTAGTCATAGATAGGCAGACAAAAAGGAGTAGGCTATTGGGCAAAAAGGGTGTTGAATCATCACTTTTCTAAGGACTAGACAACTGGGGGAAGATGGCCTCAGATTTCCAAAACTGGAGCACAGTAGGCAGGAGAGGTATTGATATATATATGTTTTGTTACAAGTAGTTAACCTAACAAATGTTCAAAGCTGTTGTGGATGGACATTAGTTCTTTCCTTTACTTGGGATTTGCCTTTATCACTTCACCACAGCCAGGAAATTTAGTTACAAACAGCTTTTTTGTTCCACCTAGCTTAGAATGACTGTAACAGCAGTTATTATAGCATCTCAGGATTTCCTCTTTTGACCAATACTACAAAGTATGAAAAAACGAAACAAAAGCATGCCCCTCTAAAATAGGCTGGTGTACATGATGGGATGAGGCACTTCCTTTTAAAATTGTTTTTAAATCGGAGGCTGAATTAAATTTCAACATTTTTAGGAGATTTTTGTTTTAGGCATCCCAAAGGTGGGACTGGTCATTTTAGGAAACTTGGGAAGTCTTTGTCTAGTTTGAGCATAACCAAAGGATGCATGAAGTGTGGGAGAAGAGAGAAGAAAACTAACAAATCCAGGAGCAGAAGAGAGAGACAAGTGAGAAAGGAAAAACCAGCAACTTTCCTAAAGTTAAACATGAAAAGTATGATAATCATCCTAATTTTTCCTTTGGTACACAGGCCTATAAACAAAAGCATTCATTAATCAGCCTCTTGCTGCTTTATGAAGGCCTGGCTGCTACATCCAAGGGCAAACCATAATTCATTAGGATTAGGGATGGCATTCTTCTATTCCATCAGCCTTAAGCAATAGTGTGCTACCTAAGAATTCAGAAAAGGGTCTTGTCTATACAGTCTATGCACTGTTCTTGTGGAAGATCAAGAGAGCAAAGTATGGTGTGTTTTTCTTTCTTCCATTTTCAACACTTGCCAAGGCTAAATAACCATGACCTGCATAAAGCTGCCATAGCCAAACAGCGAGCTAAAAACACCTCATGTAACTTGCACAGATCTGTAACTCAAATTTGTTTCTAGCCTTGAGAAGGCCCATCAGGACAGGAGGGTATTGACAACCCTGCTCATATTTGTTTTAGAACAGGTAGATTCAGTGGCAACATGTAAGGGGTGCACGTGCACTCCCTGAGAGCACTGGTGCACCCCGAGACAGGCTGCACTCCCCACTTAGGTGACAGGCAGGCGCGGGATCGCGGGAGTGACAGGCGGGGGGACCGGCTTCCGGAAGTGGCTGTGGCGCTCCCACTCCCCAACTGGCTGGGGAGTGGG